TATACTTGTATAGTAATCTCCCAGCAAAATCTCTCTCTCTCTCTCTCTCTCTCCCTCATAGAAATTATTTTTACATAATTACTTAAAGTCTTAGATCACAAAATTATTTCAATCGCATTTCAATTATTCCAATTTTATCGATATTAGACTTAATATTCAGGAATATTATTTTGATTAGCTGTAATTGATACTTAAGGAACATAATGCAGATAAGTGAATCGTGACTCATAATTCAGCTACTTGGAACGTAGCGTGCACTCCTCCAATTATCGATCGCTATTCTGTTGCATGAAATGTTGTCGTGTTAGCCTTGTCTATGTTATTCCAGCATGATAATTGGATTGTTTCTCTTGATTGCTTAATCTCGTGAAACAATTATAATTTTGCGAATTATTCGCATCCATCGCAAGTCATGATCTGATCTACGTTTTAGGGTCCACGCAATGAGGATCGATCACCTGAGAGCGCGGCAACGAGAATAGGACTAGGTGCCAGACTTTTGCAAACCTTAACAGCTGAAAAGCTTCAAGAGGCCGGTTACGGCAGAAAGACCTTTCAGCTGGAAAGGGATCTGGATGGTCCGGAATGTCTGGTAATGCATAGTATGCTTCACGTGGACCAGGCACGAGCGATGAAGCAAAGAGAACTGTGGGAGTTGATCGCACGCGAGCTGATGACTGGTCCCTTGGCATCTAAAGATCGCAAATACTTAGCGTTTTTGTCGTGTACGAGATACCGCGGCGCACCCAGTCCTCGCACGCACGAGGATACCTTGGCGAGAACACAAGGTCATGCAGCCCTCGGTGGAGGTGGCTTAGCGCTCTTCGGTTCGGCGTGTCTTCACACCTGGCCTACGTGTATGGCTCAGGTTAGTTGACGATGCTCATTGACTAATTTGATATGACAAAGAAGAACCATGTATATAATGTGGATTCGCTTTTCATTTCACATGAGGCGTTCAAAGAGAATATTAAAAAATAGAGCCTTTCATATAATTTATCAGGTATTACCGAGATTCCTGGATGCTACTGTCATTGATACTGAGCAGCTTATGGACGACAGTAATTATCGTGGCACGCACGGCGGCTGTTTGGCGACAACATTAGGCTCCGTTCTACACGAACTTGGTCACACCTTCGATCTCGGCCATACTCGAGAGGGGATAATGGGTCGAGGATTTGATTACGTCGATAGGGTTTTTGTAGGCGCAGCTGGAATCGATTTCAATCGTAATCCCATTAGAAGAGATCCCCAACACACTACTGTCGCCCTTAGCCGGCCACTCAGTGTCACGGTAACTGTACAAGATCTCGTATTATCAAGTCCACGAAGGGGTAGATTGCTTTCGGAAACATCTAGACCCGCGCCGTCGTCTACTTCGAGACAATTACCCGGAAGACTTTCAGCGCCAGCTAGTCCTGAACTTAATAGATCTCTTTCTAAGAGTCTGATCGCCTCCGAACCTCTTTCACAGCCTGACCGAACATTCTGGGGTCCATCATGTGCAGCATTACTTGCGTATCATCGCTGGTTTAACAGCGAAATGGACAATCGTTCCAATAGGCATCATCACGAAATAGAATACGATGGAAAAAGGTGAGTTGTTATCGATGATACGCTCTCGTTTGATGTTATGTTATAAATGATTAAACATCAAACGACCTTTTCACGCTCAACCGACTAATTTTTTCTTAAATTATTTATTACTCTGCCTCTACATCAGTAACAAAATCAAATAAATTTCAGCATAACTGTTTTTAATAAGTAATAATTTTTCTTTATAAGGAATGTGGTAAGATCACGATATGGAGTACGAGTAATAGAGCTCAGAGAGACGTCGGGTGGGATGGTTGTGGGTTCTCGCCAATTTCCTGGTTTACGACCACCTCTGGAAGCTTTAGTTCCACCACCTCCATCCCACTGCCTCATCACTCTTACCCTCATTGCCGAAGACTCCACCGGGAATGTGCTCAAACATCCTCTTCCTACTGCCTTTTAAAGGTCAGCAGAAACAATGATGCATAATTTTATTTTCTAGTCCGACGAAGATTGTTACAGTTCGTAAGCAATACTGGCTTAATATACATATTGTAAATTATTCAAAGATGTTATATTTTTCATTTGTTCCTTGTTTAAAGTTTATTATTTAAATATTTTAATTAAATATGTATAGAAAAATTAATTTTTTATTGATATCTTATGCGCTAATTATATTTGTTAATAAATCTGCATAAACAAAATAAGATATTTTTAGACACATATATATATACGTAATAAATGCAATACTGAGTGAGAATAAAAATTTGAAAAATGAACTGCGAAGAGATATTTACAATTTAATTTTTATATTTAATTTTTTTTAATTTTGTGAATATAAAATAAACTTTTAATTTCTGTTTAAACAAGAGTTAATCGTCCAGATACCTTACGGCGATCGCATTTCGTTTAAAACTATTAATCAAAGTATTATACTGCCATTATATATCCCTTGCTTCTAAAAATACAAATACGATTTCGGCTAAAATGAAAGCAATTTGCACATGAAATTTGAAAAACTTTCTCTCGTATCACATTACTTAATAAATTTATTTTAATGCTTCATTACACTCTGTTCCATATAAATAATTTTAATAACAGAGTGGAATTTTTAGGTATTTATGTTATAAATTATACTTTGACAAATATACAATTTGTACAGCTGAGAATCAAATAAAAGCTTGTATCTACTACACATGGTGTATTCCACGTGCGGAACGTTTATATTGGCCGTAACCATATGCCGTAATCTAAGAATTGGCTAATCACAATCGAGTTTTTCTCCTTCCATTGTAAAAAGAGAATATGATCGAAGGTGATCGGTGAATTTTGACAGATTACGGCATACAGTTACGGCCAATATAAACGCTCCCTTAGGGATCCACCTAAAAATTAACTACTTGCAATTTTTTAAATGATTATAAAAACATGTTGGTATACATATCGTATAATGTTTAATGTCAAAAATGTAAGTATACTTTCCAAGATATTGAGATAGTCGTTTTAAGAAATGTTTCCTTTGTAGCTATAATTATAACATTATAAAATTTTAATATATAAACATGAATTTTTTTAAGACTTTTCCTGTACCTTTAGATTAATGTTTTTATCTGAAAGTACAGGCAAAATTCTAAAAAATTTTATATACTTTGTAATTGTAGCTACAAATAAAACAGAAAAACGATTACTTTCAACATTTTGGATGCAAGACATATAATACTTACTTTTTTTTACCATTATATAATATATGCACCTTATACAACCTTATACAACCTTATACAACCTTATACAATATGTATACTAAGATATTTTCATGCTCATTAAAAAAATCCTAAACAGTTTATTTTTAAATGGTCTTCTGAAATGTGGAATGCGCCATAAATATGTAACTGACATATAGATGATATGGATTTTATAATAACAATGTATGATGATGTAGTCAAATGAAATATTTGATAACACATCTTGCTCATGTACAACTCTTTCCATGTTGTCGAATATGCAGGGAACTACTATTATAATAATTTATTTTGTAACAATAGTTTCTAGCGTTCCTCGAGCTCTAGTCTCAATCTCTATTAATGAAAATATAATAATTAATTAATGATATCCGTAACGTGCACAAATGAGTATTACAAACGAGGGGTATATACATTTAGTGTATAAGGTATTGGAAGTGCTTGATAATTATATACGCGTTGCGGATATTTCGTATAGAATAATCTTACAATATACTCTTTGAATTCCCAAGTAGCAAGCTAACGTTATTTATCGTCATTTTAACGTCTTTAATGACACTTACGTCAAAATGACGATAAATAACATCAGCTTGCTGCTTGGTTTCTTTGGAGTGGAATCTTACTCTAAACTCTAAAGAGTAAAAATTGAGACACTCTTGAAAAAGAGTGACTTAATTTTCAATTTTTAAGAGAGATTTCACTCTTCAGAGTGAAAATTACTCTTAAAAGTTTTCAGAGAGTATGTAATTAAACACACTTATGTAAGTAGAATTTTTAAAAAAACGATTGACATAAGTTCTAGCCTAGACTAAATTCTAGACTAGAAGTCGTCAGGGCATCTATATATTATTAACCATTTGAATGTTGCCACGCAGCGCGATCATACTTCTCATCTTTCTTGTTGAAAAGTACCAACGAGCAGCTGATAATCAACTCCAACTGGATTTCTTAGAATTAAGCATTAATCAAAATGTTTTCTTTTAATTAATTACAAATAGATTTAAAAAATATACATACAGTAAATTTTATTTTTACTTATCACAACACTTATCAACTTTTTTCTACATGAAATAGGAGAAGTGCGAATGCATTGCTAGACAATTTTTCGCACGGATTTTTACGATCATCTTCAGCATTCAAACGATTAAGTATATATAATATATACAGTATTATATCCTAAATTATTTTAATAAGTTAAGCTAGTGAACCAAAAATTACTGAGACAATATTGTACCATCAATCCTGGCAAATGGACAAAAATAGTCTATATGTACTGAATTAAGAATACAAAGTTAATTAGAAACATGACTAACTTTTTTTTACCTATTTCTCCTTAATGAGATAAGTTTACATAGTTAATATGTGGTAAATGGCATTCATTAAATTTTGTTTATTCAAAATTTATTTTATTATTTGCGTTCTTTCAAATTATACAATTTTTGTTTAAAACGGGTTTTCATATCTTCCATATATATTTTTCAAGATATCATTTAACTGTTTAAAATAAAATGGGACACCTTATATATTTTTTTATCTGTACTTGAGTCTATATATATATATATATCACATAATTTGTGTAGCAAAAATATAACATAAGAAAGTATTTAAAAAATTCTTATCGCAAATGTATGACGAAATCACATGGAATATTACTCGTGATAGTGACGGTCAATCGATATCGAATTTTTTTTTCCTGAAGTAAATAATTTAAAAAAATTGTATCTAGAATCCCGAAGATAACAATATAGCAACGTATTTCGTTATTTCAAAGTATATCGCACGTATGCATAGTAGTATGTATTTGAAGTAAATCATGTCATCCTCCGACTCGATCGTTCAGAAAAATACTTGTGCAGTAATAGAAACTGATAACAAACTACAATTTCCTGAAATAATCGATGACAAGATAGACACCGAGAATTTCTTGCAGGCCGCTCGCGATGTCGTGCGGACAGTTGGTATGTACCTATTTTCGACCTTAACCTCAAATGTTACCCAAGGAACTGAAATCAAATCGCTGCTGTATGATCACGAATTAATCTTGTTTTAAATATAACATGACGTACAATAGAAACAAATTTGTATTTCAGATAAATTTGGCAAATTATTTGCACCCGTACGGCATGACATGCAAGGCAACATTGATGTAAGTGAAGCAAGAAGTTCACAAGAATAATATTTATTAACAGTCTCTATGGAACTTGAATTTTACATTCTTAAATTATTTACAGAAGCTTACCACTAGGTACTGTATGGATAAAACAGCTAACTCGACCCTACAAGACATGATTTTGCTTGAAAAATCTACTGAAAAGGATCTCATTGCAGTTGATGCCTTAATGTGGTTAAGAAGGTTATTAAACGTGTAACTGCAAATGTTGACATTTTCAGTCATTGGACAGAATTATAATAATAATTTAACACAATTAATTATACACAACAATTATTTAACACAATTATACACAACAATTATTTTTGTAAATTTTATCTTTTGCAATAACCTTTTTCTAATGCTCATTCTTGGGAGCTAACATTAGTTACTTATGCTTGGTATATAAGAATTATTTAAGTTATGTTAATTAAAGGCACTAATTAATTTCAAGGAATCAAAATAATATAACTTGTATAATATTAATAAGTAAAATATTAAGTATATATTCTTTAATAAGAATAATTCAACTTGCTGATGTAACATAAAAAAATTGAATTGATATTTTTGACAGAGATTTATAATTAAATGAATTCAATAGACCCACCGTCAACTTGTGAGAGTTAATATAAATAATATTAAATTATCTATCGATTGTATATGAAATTATATTTATAAACTTATCACATTTCAAAGTCAAAGAGTAATCGGTGCATAATTGAATGTATACAAAAAAATGTACAGAATTCACACAAAAACTATTGTTAGGCCTGAAACCCCAATGATAAAAAATGTGGATATTTATTTATTCTGTGCTGTATATATTGCTACTGTTAAATCTACTAAGTTCTTTCGGATACATGCTTTTGCATATAAAAAAATTTTATTTAATGATTGTTAAATGTTTCAGAGCTTTACATCTGATTTTATTATTCTTTGAAAGAATCGTGGAGACGCATAAAACTGGGGAAGCAACAGAAGATTTGGTTGCATTCATGAGAGAAGCGTACAAAGAAACTTTAGAACCATATCATGGTTGGTTGGCCCAACAGTTGTTCAATGTAACTATATATTTTTCTATATATGCCTATAAGTTAATAACTTCAAAAATTATAAATTTTTAAATATTGGTTTTGTTACAGCTCCTGTCACGTATGACGCCTTCTCGTTCGCAGCTCCTATTAGCATTAGCCAATGGAGAAATAGGGAGAGAAGAAATTACTTTAAGCAATATGGAATTATCCTTAATAAATTTAAGGAAAAATATAATAGCCTTAAAAATGTTTTATAATGATCATAATCTAGAAGTGACTACTGTAGTATAATATAAAATATGTTAGAGCTCAATATCATAAATTCAAAAATTATAATTTCAATATTATACAACATAAAAACTTCAATATTATATCTTCTATTACTTAGTAATTATTAATTATATTATTATTTAATTATTAATTATAGAAAATACTGCCTGAAAAGATACATAGATTTAAAATTAAAGAAGGTACAACGAAGCTAAGAAATTTTATGCATGTTTATTAGCATAAAATCATAAATTCTTATATATTACATTTCTATAGATTTCAACCAAGTATACAAAAATTAGTTTCTATTCAAATCATTAATATATCATTTATATCATGTTACATTGGCTGCGTTCGGAGGTATCCGAGCGACGTTTCCGAATGCAGCCATTAAGTCTTTTAGCATTATATTAATAATGCAATATTTTATTGTTAAATTAAAAGCAATAAATGTATATCAATTAACGTCTACTATCATCAATCCCATATAATTGTGCGACATAAAACCTTTTAGCATGATGGTCTGCCGACTTTTTTAAAGCTACAGTAGCTGTTATAATTTCTGTAACGAGCAGAAACGCCATGATACTGTTAGTAATTGTTTCGCTAAAATGAGGTCTGGTTTTGCTATCGAAAAGAAGGAACATCTCTAAAGGAAAATGTATGAGAGTAGATATCAGCCAAAAGCTTGCCAGTTCTGGAATCTGTATAGAGATTAAGAGAATACCTTCAATCGCCGCTAACATCAATTCGTCTAATTTATCTATATATCTTATTGAATAAATTACCTTCTCTGCTAGGTTTCCAAGATATCCCAAATACAGCCGTATACCTTCCAATACTGATATAATAATAAATACGGCTACAGTTATAAATTTGTATACATCTGTCAAGTAATAGTACTGTAAAATAAAAAATAATATCTATATTCTTTGTCTGTCAAATTTTTAAAAAAATTCAGTTTTGATGCATATTTACTTTTGCATCTAAATTGATAAGTATTACAAAAAACCATACGGGATACATCCATACATTAAAATACAATGCCATTTGGAGGGGCAAATTGGATTGTATCTGATTTCCTGTATAAAGCAAATAATGAATGAGAAAAATATATAAGAGAATATATAAATATGCAAAAAAGTAATGCAAAAAATTTAATTAAGTGTATTATTAAACTAGTAAAACTAGAAATTTTATTAAAGTTGTAACGAGAGTTTCGAAATTATTAGAAATTACGCGCGTTTCGCTTTTATTAAAATTCAATAGTTAGCTTTGTAATAAAAAAATTCTTTGATTAATTTTAATACTATTGTTGCCTTAAATCTTCAAACAATATATTAAAAATATCTCATTGATACATTAATTATAAATTGATTTGTAACATTAAAATGAATGGCGACAATAGATCAGTTAGAGTGACGTAAATATTTACTATTACCGTTTCTCATGGCAACAACTGCTACCATAACAATGCAGAACGCAAGATGCATACCTATATCATAAAATTCCTTTTTTCGATCGTGATATGCCAAACCGGGAAATAAACGGTCTGACGCGGTGACAACTGATGTTTTCCACATCATTGCTTATAACGTGAAATTTTCACGTTTGGAAAAACAACGAAGTTTAAATACACATTTAGAATTGAGTTTGTATTTTAGTTCCTCGCATCGACCAGTAGCGGCGATTAATCACCTGCTACCAGTGTTGCCAAGACTATAACTTCAAATGCGTAGTCATCTAACGGTATTCATAAGATAATAATCGTTTATCTAATAAAATTCTAGATTTTTATTAGCTGAAATCTTTGTCATAAAAATCAGAAAATTTGACATAATAATACTATGTATATATATATATATATTTTCATTAATATTAAACTAAAGCAATAGTTGAGAATATCAAATAGTATTATAACAATAATTATGTTAACAGTATATAAAGCGTAAGGATTGCTAGATTTAGAGATCTTTGTGTTCTTTATTTTGCTCCCTCTTGAATTAATGTATTTGACGTGAAACATATAAAATCGTATTTGATAAATGCTATTATACAAGACTCGCATTCATTTTTTTTTTAAGTTAGTAGAGAACACATCTATAATGTTATATTTACAAGTTTAAAAGTTCTCTCAGAAATAAAGGTCGTCAAAAAAAAATTGCAGTCTGGCGTAACAATAAGATCAAGTTCAAAATCATTGTTACAATTGGAACATTTATGGGCACAGTAGATCACATATTTTATCTATTACTACGATCATTTCTTTCCAGATTTTTTTATGCCACCGGTAACCAGAGGTCCTTTTTGACTGGCTTTCTTTGCTGCCTCAGCCAGAGCTTTCTGTGCTTCCTTTTGCTTTTGTTTAAAGGCTACATCCTCATCATCCAAAACTTTGCTTTCCTTCTTTGGTGCCTTCAAGGGTTTCTTCTTACCTCCTTCTCGGCCAGACATTCTAAAATATATAAAAATTAATCACATGTGTCTGAATATCGCTTATTAAAAATGACACATAGCTCTAACATTGTATCCAAGAAGTCACTTAATTGTTTACTGTGTAGACAGTCATCTGGGGTGACCTTGACATTCCCAGTTAAAAGTCATTATTATTAATCATAGCTATACACACTTTTTCTACCCTTGATATACACACTTGGGTCCTTGGGACCCTATCCATATTTATACCATAACTTCCATAAAAAGGACATGTTTCAATTAATTTTTTTTCCAATCGATGAAGAAACAAGTCTATAATATATAAAAATCGATAGAATTAAGGAACTTTGAGATATATAGATTCAAAGAAAAAGAAAAGTTTAGAAACACGAAAAAAATTTTGATTTAGCAAATTGTACTGGAATTTCTGAGACTTCAGTGTGTATATAGCTAGGGTTAATTATATATATGAATTATTCTATAATTTATTTAAAATCATTACGTAGATTTAATCAACATTTTCTAAATAAACATAAGAAAAAATTTTTTTTAACATATAGATATTCTCAATCAAGAGAACAAAAAAAAACTGATCGAACTTCATTGTTGGGATATAAAAAATCTTCTCAGGTAACTATTCTTGGATTAAATCAATATAACCTCCACAGAAACGGAAATTAATCAAATCACAGACAAAATATTCTACAATAAGCGATGGACAATGTTAACAGCTGTGCCATTAATATTATCAGAAAATTAAATCCACAATTCGTTCAAATATATAGAAAATACTTAAAAGTTATAGATATAATTATAAATTATAGATACATTCATGAAACAGCGACATACGCATACTACGCACATACCACTCTTACTAGATTATGGAATTCTGTCAGTATTGGAGTACTCCACTTACTTGCAGCAGTACTAAATTTCCAGACAAGATAGCGAAGTACGAATGAAACACGACAGATCTCGAAATACGTTCTGATGAAGATTAACAAATGCCGCTGTATGGCAAATTTTTCTCGAGCTAATCGCACAGATTGTGCTGCCGCAAACCGTGAATTCGAACTATTCGAAGCTCGGCGATCTCAGGTCTGTTCCTTATAGCTAGTTGCTAAATAGATACTTTTATTACTTTTCTATTCTATCACTTTTCTTCTCTTTTAACTTTTTATCTATAATTCGGGTCAGAATTTAAAATAGAATTTAACTTGTAGAATATACAAAATATCCGAAGAATTACACACAAATATGCAATATATATATATATGTGTAAAAAATATCTCTACTGAATTTTTCATATAAATTTTCAAATTTTTGGGTAAATTTAAGTTTTGAAATAATTTATAACTTTTTAGAAAATTTTTCAGGTTTTTTTACGTAAATTCGAACACTTTCGATGAAGTTTACAACTTTTCTAGAATTTTTATTAAATGAAAATTCAAATTAATATGAAATATTCTGAAATGTCTTATTTTATAATTTTTCTAAAATCTTAAGTTTTCTCAGATTTTACAAATTTCATACAAAATTACAGAATGAGAAGTATAGAATGAGAAGTCTTAGAATATTTTTCAACACATTTATATATACTCGTATATGTAATATTCTAAGAAAAGTTGTAAACTTTCTCAGTTTTTCTAAAAAGTGTTTCAAGTCGTATAAAAGTTTTAGGAAAAATTTTCATCAGAGAAATATGACATATTAAATTGCAAATATATAATTCTGTCCTACATTCTATAATCTAAAGGACTTTACACGCATTTTTTATTTTAATTTCAGAAAGTGTAAGGTAGTTATAAAAAACAGCTATTACTTGTAGTTTTTATAAAAAATAATTATTTCATTATTCGAAATAATCTATCAAGATTCATCAGATTACGACACACAGCTTTTGGTGAAGGAAGATCGTACTTGGAATCGGTTTAAGAATTCGATACAATGTTGTTCAACTTTAACATTTATAAATATGGAAGTAAGTTGTATATATATTTTTTATACAAACAAATTTGATCCAGATTGTTTGAATTATTTCTCTTGAGTGCAAGTCTCTTTCTCATCACATTCGATTAACATTTATATTTCTGAATAACAACATAAAAGTTAAATATTATTGCAAATAACAATATATCTTTTCCCCTCTTTCGTTTTGTCCGAAGTTCAAGTGTTGGTAGTATTGACGTTATTATTGGGACAAGATTCTCTAAGTCCTTAAAAGTTTCTTTCTTCTTCCATTATTGGTCTGTTCTTTTCAGCTAAACTCCTCTCGCATCGTTCATCTCTCTTCTTTTTCTCTCCACGCTGAAGAAAAGAGAAGGAAAGATGAACGGTATAAAAGAAGTGTAGCTAAAACGAATAAATTATATTACACGCTATGCTACAGAAAATTGTTCTTTCTTTTTTTTTAAGACCATTTAGGAAGTGAAGAAAAGCACAGCCAAAAAGAATGGCATCAAATATTGCACTTTAAAAGAAAGATTCGCGTTTCTCTAAAGAATTCCAAAACAGAATGGTGGGGACAAGATATTCGAACAGATAGCTCGACCGTTAGTCTCACTAGTCAGTAAACAGTTTCCTTCGCGACAGTCAGCAGAGCTAAAGTAAATAGAATAAGCAAATAAAATTCTTATCAAGATAATTAATTGAAAGATTTAATACATGGCAGCATTGAAACAATTTAGATCTTTTGTTCACATAATTTATTAATTATTTTATTTAATTAGCTCGTATATATAAGTAATGGAATTTTAATTAAAAAATTTGTTTGACGTCAAGGCGTGATAGTAAGAATCATGTAAAGTACTTGCTGATATCAGCATCTTCTGTAGAATCTAAAAGAATTTTTAATATAACAAAATAAAAAAATATCTACTGGAAAATCTGATGGAGAATTGAAGCAAAAATGTTAGCATGGTCATTTTTCTGAATACAAATCAATGGCTTTTTCTTAAAATATGCTTGCTGTAAATATAATTTCTAAATTTTTTTATAATTACAATTCGAGCTTAATTTTTAAAAACAACTCTTCGAGTTACAGTAATTTTATATTATTGGCATTGACAAAGTGAAAGGAATCTTAGTCCTTGAAATTGCTTGACAACGTAAAAATTAAAAAGCGATTCCATTAGAATTTATAATCGCTGATACATCTGCGTGATTGTACCTTATCGCTATTATTAAAAACGTAATCATATCGAAGAATCATCAATATTAATATTTCACGACTTTTTCACGAACTAATATTTTCAATGGAGCAATAAAACTTCAATTAAAGTGTTCAATCACGATTTTTTTAAACAAACGTAAATTAAATAATGCCATGTGTGTTTAGGATCATTGCACCGGATTTATTCAAGAGTGCAACTCAACATGCCACCTAAATTGGAATTAATTGCCGCAGCATGCGAAAATATGGGTATTGGAATAAATGGCGATTTACCATGGCGTTTAAAGTAAGATTAATAAACCGTATACTCAATTAATTTAGAGAGAATATTTGAATGAATGATTCGTACGTAGGACGGAAATGGCGTACTTCACGTACATGACGATTAACACAGAGCATAAAAATAAAAGGAACGTCGTACTTATGGGTCGGCGCACGTGGGAGTGCATCCCCAAAAAATATCGACCTCTGAAGGACCGAATAAATATGGTGTTAACTTCGCAATCATTGTAATTATGGGCAAAATAACAAATGTCGAAGAAAATTTAATTTGTCAGAAAACAATAGATCATATATCAATTTTAGGGATTATGGAGATGACGCGATAACATGTAAAAGTATACCACATGCGCTTGACATAATTTCAGGAATGCAGAATGAAGTAGAAAGGATATGGGTAATAGGAGGAAGTAGCTTGTACAAGGTTTGTACGATAAATTAATCCAATACTTTCTTTTCGGTTGCACAACACTATAGATTCTCTCCACTTCATTCGTGAAACGTACTCACAATGAAACGTATCAAGTATTCGCGATTCAAAGTTAAAAGAAAGAGAAACAATTTGAACAACAGAAAGTGCGATTAAAAGAACAGACCCGATACTGCAACAAAAATTTAAATGTTAATAATTTAAATTAGATGTAACAATTATTGTATAACTTCATACTAGAGTGCCATGGAATCTTCGTACTTTGGACGATTGTATTTGACGCGTATAAAGAAAAAATTTGAATGTGATACATTCTTTCCTTCTATCCCAAACGATCTCGTGTTAATCGAGTAAGTATTAATGTTTCTTTGCATTAGATATGTTTCACATTGCTGTTTTTCTAATAATAATAATTCCAGCGATCCAACGGTACCACAAGGCATACAGGAAGAAAAAGGAATTAAATTTGTATATGAAGTGTATGAAAGAAGATAAAACTACTTCTTTCAACCAAATTAAAATTGTAAACGTATTATTTTTGTGAACATTATTTTTGCTGCATCTGTAACAAATAAAAGTGGAATGTCATAAAAAACCGTTAGATATTATCAATTATAGTTTTAATACATAAATTATATTACTGATGATATTTTTTATACAATGTTCTTCAATCATATACTTCCAATACTTTATTCATAGAAAGTAACGACTTCATAACGAAAATCAAGGTTTATATATTTAAATGTATAAATACATTAGCCAGGAGGCCACTGCAACTGCCGACCGCCAAGAACATGCAGATGCAGATGATACACTGACTGTGCACCGTGTTTTCCATCGTTGATGACTAAACGAAACCCATTCGTCAAACCTTTTTGCTTTGCAACTTTATGAGCGACATTCATCAGGTGACCAAGCAAAGGTTCATCTTCATCTTGAACTTTGGAGAGTTGCGAAATTGGCTTTCGTGGAATCACCAGAAAATGTACTGGTGCTTGAGCATTTATATCATCAAATGCGACGCACTGTCAAATCAGAAATATATTCAATAAATTAATATTAGCATTTCGCATAAAAACAAAACATTATTTAATCCAAATCAAACTATCACTAATATAAAAATATATAAAAATTAATTTCCTCTCTATATCTATATTTATTCTAATTCACAAGTTTTCTGATATAACAAAAATCAACTAATAGTTTCTATGCAACTCAGTAGACTGGAACAAGTGGTTATATAATAATCATATAGATGGCAAAATAAATAACAAATCATTTCAGATAATTAGACGGAATTTCTGCTGCACGTATAAAAGTAAACGCAATACATAGCATAATGTAAATTTATTTTAATGCTTACAAACACATTCAGACATTTTGGCCATACTTTTTATGTTATGGTAAGCAATATCGTGTGCATAAAATAATACATAATATTTTCAACAAGTTTGATGCAAAACGTTCAAGTGACGCCGGTAGGTCGAATTTGCTATGTAATTCAACAAAAAAATACAATTTTATGTGTTACGCCATAGTTTACCTGGCTATCCTCGTAAATAAAGTTGCATGGGATTTCTTTACGTAATATCTTTCCAAATATCGTATCACCTTCCGGCGCAGCGGATTGTGCCTTCTCCACCTCGGTCGCCATTTTCCTTAAACTAGCAGAACAGACCGGTAGGTTGCCACCTATTGTCAGGTGTTTGTACGCATTTACGACGAGGTTCGAAAGCAACCTCATGTCAAAAGTCGGTGATGTCGACGCAACTACGATAATCTTTAAAACAGATATCGTTAGCTGCACATTACATGCGCGTTTCAATGCTTCGTTTATCTCTGAATTCCATTTTATTACAGTCCGAAGGTCGCAACGTTCATGTCAGTGCAGCCACGATCAAGATATCGAAGCGCGAATTTCAAATTCGACAATTGCTGGAAAGCCAGAAATAGATTACGTATTATAGAATTATTCGGAATGGATTCCTATTGGATTTATTTCATTTTCCCTAGAAAGCACAATAAAAATTTACAGAATAAATAAACAATTCCGATTGAAATCCATTCCGAATAATTATTTAAAAGGTATATGTATCAGAATACTTGCCGGATCGGAACGTTTTCTTGTTTCAACGGACTACTTTCTGTATTCATTACGATTGTAAAAAATCAAAAAGTTGGCTGATGAATACATCGAGGAGATTATTTGCGAGACAGAATCTTGCATGTAAAACTATAAAACTTTTATTTCATAAGACAGTCTTCTCTTAATAATGCGATTATTCTATTTTCGAAGTCTTAATACAATAATGCACTCTAAGAGGCACATAAATATTGTCACTTATTGCTTTATACACGTATTGTCAATATTGTACATTAATAAAAATACGCTATTAATGATTGCAATGGTTCATGGTACATGCAAAGTATGGCAGTGCGCTTTCTGGTTTTCTCCGGAAGATCTTTAAATCATTCCCGTATTCCTAATGGGTCGCAAAGGCCCCAGTCTTAGAAAAATAATTCTACTTATAAAAAATATACATAGTGTTATCTTGAATTACATTAATTTCGCATTAAACTAAAGCTAAGTTAGCTATGTGTTACAATCGCTTTCATATCTCTAATAGGATTTGCCGTAACTACGCATATCTTATGTAATATAATGTAAATGTCGTGCATACTATTAACCACTAAGTAATAACTGCTGTGAAATATAAAAAAAAAAGTTAATCAGAAGTGTAATTCATAACGTTATTATAAAAAGACGATTGACTGAAACATTGAGACATTAGACAGTAAATAAATAACATATCAAAAATAATAATAATCGCTTCACTTTCATATTGTACATTAAGGTACGCCTAGGATAAGTTAACTTAAATATTATAAACTTATTTCGTAAAGTGTTAGATTATTATATTTACTGTTAATAACTTAATTACGCAAGGTGTAAAAGTAAGGGATATGTATAATGACTACTATTTAATACGACGCAACAAATTTAAGTGCTAATTGAATTTATAGTATTATAGCATTTATATGCACAGTTGTTAATACTCGGATTAGATATTTAATATATAATCAACGTGTTATTAGTTAATTCTGCATATGTACTATAATAATATTCATACTGTAGTACGGTTAAATGTACTTCTATTCCTGAATATAATACGTCAGTCTGAGTTTGCTAGTTTTATATATATATATATATATATATATATATAAATAATCTATCAATAAGTTTAGATAACTCACGGAATAGAGAGAGAGAGAGAGAGTTATTGTACGCCCTCATCGGAAAAGTATCGGTGTCTTACGGCTTTTGCTGCAGTTATACGACTATGAGGATCAAACATGAGCATGTTCTTTATTAAGTCTAATCCATCTTCATTGAGATCTGGTACTATTAGACTGAGAGGTCTCGGACGTCTATGTGGAAAAGCATTCCAATTGAGCGATACATTCTCCGGCCATTCTTCCTGTGATGGAGTACCCAAAACTCTAAAATAAAGAGCCAAAATATATATATATATAACATGAAGAAATATTCGGAAATTCAAAGTTTATTCTGAAAACAGAAAACCAAAAGTATATATATATAACTCACTGGAAAATCCTGTCCAGTTGATCACCCTCACTGGTACCTGGGAATAACGGTTCCAATTTGCAAAGTTCTGCTAGTATGCATCCGACAGACCAAACATCTACAGGAGTAGCATAGGAACATCCTAAAAGTACTTCGGGTGCTCGATACCATTGGGTTACAACCTAGACAGAATATCATAAGGTTTTCTTAATTGCGATATTAAATGATACATAAAAAGTTGCTCATTTTCTTTGAATCACATGCACTGATATATTATCACTTATTTAATACAATAAATATTCAAAAAATTATAGTTAAAAATGAAGTTATAAATACAAATATCTATATACATAAATAAATAATGATCAAACAATGACGATAGTAATAACAATATTTGTGATCGAGAAGAAGTATATAATTTGTAATACTTAATATCTAACACGTACCACGGAAGTTAATCTCATTTCAAAACCGTACGTCTTGGCCAGACCAAAATCCGCGATCTTGATTCTCCCTTCCCGTGTTACTAGAAGATTCTGCGGCTTCAAGTCCCTGTGTATTATTCTATGGCTGTGTAGAAACTCCACTCCACAAAGTATCTCTTTCAACATTTGCCTCACAAGATACGGTGGGATGCTTAATCGGGGCGAGCTATTCCGATAATTAGCTATGTACGAAGCGAGATCTCTTTCTACGTGTTCGAACACCAACCAAAAGGTGATATCACGTTCCGGTCTTTCGAATGTACCATCACCCGATGATACATCAAGATAATCTCCTCCTTGGCAGGTATCCAATAATCTGACCTGGATAACAAAGAGCAAATATATAAAATATGTACCTATACCTACAATATAGTATTAATTAATAAATAAAAGATTCTATTTATGATAATTTATAACGAAATGTAGAATATTGAAGATCAGTATATATACATACATATATAATACGTAATTAATAACGGAAATTATATTTTGATTAAAAAATGCTTACAATATGTGGGTGCTCGTATTGCTCGAGCGATTTCAAGGCAACAATTTCCCTTAATGTGGACTGAGGCAGACCATCCTCCGTCAAAGGTATCCTGACTCTCTTAAGCGCTACGGTTTGACCACTATTCTTATCTGTAGCTTTGTACACTGTCCCGTAAGCACCATTCCCGATAACGGACAAATTCTCGAACGACGGTCGTTCACGCAGCGAGTAACTTTGTATCGTCGTCTCTTCTGATCTTCTTCCGGAAGGAGCAGAGAGCTCACCTTGATCGCTGTACCTCATTACAACGGATTTTAACGTCTTGAGCTGCTCTTCTCTCGATGTACTCGGGATTGCTTCCGTTGAGGTCGATGCGATATCACTCTCTTGTCTGGGGAGATCATATGGATCCGGATCCGTTTGAGACGATTGTTTAGTCGATTCCGAGGACGTTTCACTGATTAAAACCGATTGCTTCGATGTTGTTGCCTGTTCTGTAACATCTGAAAGTTGTTTATCTCCTTCCGAAACGATTTCTGTCTGTGCAGAGATCTCTGTAACATCTGAGAGTTGTTTATCTCCTTCCGAAAGGATCTCTGTCTGTGCAGGTATCTCATTTGTGCTCGATGCCTCGGTACTTTCCACTTCGGTTAGGTGCTTTTCTCCAGACGAATCGGATGAGGTTTCGGATTGCTTGGGCCTTTTTGGGGCAGTTGGCGTCGATAAATCCGGTTCGAGCTCTGTGCTCAAACGTCGTGACCTACCAGCCATCACAACATCTCGACTTCTACCTGAAATAAAATTTGTTCTTATTATTGACAAAAATAATAATATTAAGAAATAGGAAAATACAATAATTTCTTGGAAAAGGAAACGAGAAAACCTTAACGTGTTTTAATTTCTCAAGGGTAGTATTTCTAAGGTATCTTTAAAGAATTTTACGTTAAAATGATAAAAACAAATAAGAATATATTATTTTTGCACACAGAAATTTTTAAAGTTATATTTATAAAACTAAAAATAATAATGTAAATATAATAATAATGTAAAAATAATAATGTAAATAAATAATGTAGATTAAAAATTTTTCTCAGAATTTTTATTCGAATTGGAACACTTTTTCAGAAATACTAAAAAAGTTTACATTTTTTCTTAGAATTATATACATGAATTCTATAGAAAAGATGTAGACTTTCTCGGCACTTCAAAAGTGTTTCATTTGTATAAAAAAATTTGAGAATTTTTTTTAATTATAAAATTGTTTAGAAAATTCTGAAATTTACATAAAAATTCTGAAAAATTATATAAACAACTTTGAGAAAAATTTTCATCAAAATTTTCAATGCAAATCATAAATAATAATAATAATAAGCGATAACTAGGAGCTAAATCCGAATCTTAGTAACGGGTTTTACTTCCGCTCGCTGATGATTACATCTATGAGCTCCTTGACAGATTGATATCAAGATCTATTGCGAAAACTACGCAAGGGGACGAGATGCACAGCACGGATATCGTGGCGCGTGCATGCGTGTTTGTACAGTCGCGCTTGCGACACACGAGCTCGCGTCGTAAAGCAGATACACGGGACCGGCTCGTTTCTCTCTTTCGCTTGCGTTTTATTAAAATTTCGAGACGGTACCACAAGCAGGACGTGCGATCATGGCAAGCCGTCTGCTACGCGACATCTGCACCGACACCTGCGCTCGTATAATAGCCCGCTATGCCGGCCTCATCGTCGGCTTTCCGGAACATCTTGTGAACGCAAAGGAAGCCCTAAACCCCACCAGGGGTCCTTGCCCTTTGTTTTCTTCGCCGGATCCAGCGATAGTAATTGATTGTGAAATAAATATGTCAAACTGTGGCATTGTCACCTCAAGAGTAAAATTCCACAAAAGAAAAAAATATATATTAGTCGTATCTCATTGGATTATTAAGCCTCTTTTTCTTCGTTTTCATTACGAATCTTATACGGAAAGAATGGTTTTGCTAAAAATCGAAAAATTTAGATACACACAGATCTGAAAATAGATTTTGTTGGACTATTGAAATAATTATGTATAGATCACTCAAGTCGATGGTAAAAATATCAAAACTGTTTGCGTTGCTCATCACGTTTGAATTTCTTACGTAATTATTTTGATGGTCCAACAAAATTATTTTGAAGTATAGCTAAATTTTTAGATACTTCAGCAAAATCATCCTTTCCATACAGAAGCTTACTGCAACGTAGCAATATTATCACAATATTATATTGGAACTTTGCAATATTGTTGGAATAATCTGTACTACATGTATTATTTCCGACATCTTCTAATGGCAAGCTATTTTTTTTATTCAAAACACAATAGATCTCACTAACAAGCTATGTAAACTGTAAACTATTGATTATAGTGTCTCACACTTGATACGAATGCGTGAATTTTGTTGCTTCCATACGGAAGATTCGTGATGATGAGTTGAATAAAAGAGGAAGCTGGAGATATTAGGCCAAAGAGATATGAAGTTGTGATAGAAAAGATCCATATGGCATAATTCAAATGATTTAAATAGCCGGATGCTGAAAAAAGGCACTCGCCTTCATTCAGAGGAAATAATAAACTATACTGTTATCACTTCGTAATTTCTTTGTGGTACATGGCCGCCGTTAGATGTTAGTTGTGGAAAAAGTCGACAGGGTACAGATAATCCAACATTATTTGATTTAATATCAAAATACATTCTTTTATATTACGAAAAAAAATTCTTAAACTTTTACGTTTAATCAAATAATGATCGTATTAATAAAATATTTTTGCTGTATTATGTTAACACAGACATAACGTCGAATATTAGTATACGAAAAGAATGGTTGTGCTGAAATATTTGAAAAGTATTTACAAATTTAGACAAATGTGAAAATAATTTTATTGGACTATCAAAATAATTATGTACGATCAAAAAAAAAAAAGTCTAGTTACTAAAATATCAAAAAGCCTTACAGCATTGCTCGTCATAAGTTTCCTAATAATTATTTTAATGGCCCAACAAAATTATTTTTGGATCTGTATCTATATTTAAATTTTTAGATACTTTAGTAAAATCGTTTTTTCCGTGTACTTTTGGTGGAGAACGCTTTGCAAACGGATGTACTCTCACGGTTTTGATTAAATTCTTCTATCAACTTCCTCTTACGATAAGAAATTCTAACTAGAAAAGCCGACCGGGGAGGAAGGAAGGAAGAAGTGAATGAACGAATGAACAAAAGAAACTGACTTTTAATCGCGAGAAATTTTTTGTTCTCAATGTCTGATATTGAGAAAAAGGAACAAAACGGGATGCTCGTAGGCGTAAATTTTAACGGGGTGCATTGTGGAAAAATTCCGGGCGAGATATGTCGCAAAATGAAAGAAACGAAAGAAAAAAAAGGGAAATATATGGGCGATTCAGGGAACTGGAGAAAAACATGTCCTTGTTCTGGAGGCGACCAACAACTTTGTATGTACAGAGCGCGTTTCCATACAGCATTATCTCGAGACCACCTTCCTGGAAGAGGCAGATGTTTCTATACAGTTTCGTTAGACACCAAGAAGAAGAAACAGTGAAGTCGATGAAGCGTAGTTTAGCAATATTTAAGAAAAAAAAAAACACATTTCGAGAAGATGGAAGCATATTACTTAGTCTGTTTTTATAATTACTTTTCGTTTATTTTTATTAGAAATGAACGAAAAGTAATTATAAAAGAGACTAAGTAATACGCCTCCATCTTCTTGAATGTGTATTTTTTCTTAATTGTTGCTAAATTTTCTATTAGTAGATGCAACGGTGCGCCAATAACTTATTTTCGCTGGTAATACACTTGTAAATATATGTCTGCATATTTTGGAATACATAGGGGAGACTAAAGGAAATATTACTCATTCTGTCACCATGTATTTTTTATTAATTCAAGTAGATAACTTGGATGGTAATCGTGCAAAGAATATGCGTTCTGTAATTGTTTCTCTTATAAAGTCTCTAAAATTATTAAGAACACGATTGTTAAAAACGTTCGATATTTTACGTTTTCACTGCAAAGAATTTACAACACAAGATCACGATATTTATTGCTGCAACACTTTCCACATAATTTTCAATAAATCCATCATGATTTTCAAAAGTTGCCGTTTGCTGTAAAATATTGTGTACCAGTGAAAATCCGCAAGTAATATTCTTTAGATATTTTTAGTTGAATAATAGACATCTTTCCTTCTTTTCGAGAGGTCTTCCTTTTATTGTCTTTAAATGCTTTTCTGTTCTCATGCATCCCTTGGTAAAATACAATGTTCTTCTGTATATATATATATATATTGTTATATCAAGTGTCACGTAAAAAGGACGAAAATAACCCAACAAAGTTGACGTAGTAGATAAGCGGTTGGGACACGGGAAAACTGATAACTCGAGAAGTCTTCGTGCTAGATAAACAACCGTACACGAAAGAGGATGTCCAATGGAGTACAAAAAGATGTTTAACTGAATCTTAACTTAACCGTCTAAACCAAGACGCACTGACATGTAGACTCGAGGCTACGAAATGTGAAATCACGCAATGCTCGTCTTATTGTTAGAAAAACACAACTTCCGCTGGCAAATTAGATAACGTAAGAACTTTCGAACGTCGGAATGTCGTGTTACTCAATCTTCTTATCACATTACTCGACGAAGTACACTCGATACACACGCGCGCGGACTCAGCAGTTTCCGTGTAATAAATAAATAAATTTATATACCATGTTACATGTCAGCATTTTATTTTTAATTTCGGAATCAAACAATGGCTGCGTTCAGCAGAGAAAGCAGCTTTGCAACTGTTGTAAAATTCTTCAATATGATTGGTTTATACATTTAGATCCAATCAGGAACTAAGGGCAAGACCAATCATATTGAAGAATTTTACATTTAAATATTTTGAGGTAAATATTAAAAGAACGAAAATAATATAAAAGTGTAATTAAAAAAAGAGGAAGTAAAAAAACTTACGAAAAAATTGCGTTTATTAGAAACGTGTCGCTTAAACTTCTTCAGTCTCTCGTTTCAATTTTTGCATATTTCGAGAAAAAGAAAAGTGAACACTGATAATGCTCTGTCTAAATTATTATACATCAAGTTACCTCAAAGGAAAATCATTTCCTATTATTTGGAGTTTAACTCACTCATTAGGTTTCTCTCGACGAAATCATTAAAATTTTACGTTGCACGACGTAAAATTATTGCCCCGCGGCTTCCGTAAAGTTACACGTGTCACGATTGTTTACGCACTGTGTAGCGCGTGGCGTAACTAGTATAATATATAACGCGTAAATCATGCGTCGCCTCAATTGCAACATAATTGAAGGCACATTTAGGATTATTGTTTGCAAAGTCGAGTATCAACGTGTGTAGATCTACGTTGGATGAATGAACGGTTACATATGATTAAAGTACACTGTGTTTACACTCATTAATTCATCATGACCGGATAGGTGCAATAATGTTAAGTTCGAAACAGGACAAATATTGCGTTTTGTTAAAATAATGTGTGTTATCTTCTTAAAGTAATTCTCGAGATCGCGTCTATTAACTTTAGGATGCACAAAAGAGGTCAATCACTCTAAATGCAAGTCGTCGATTATCTTATCTCAATCCGGGCATCCGCGCTACAACTTCGAGAATAAAGATAAAAATGTACATAAGATTAATCTTTCACATATCACAGAATTGCTATATAAATGTAAAATTTTTTGATTATAAATTGCACAATTTAATCAAATCTTGCAATTAGATAAATAAT